ATAAGCTTAGTAAAAAGATGCAGAATTCTTTAAAGAATATGTCCTTAAAATTTCAGATTGATTGTAGTGATATTTATTGAATATTCTTAGTTACAACTATTTTCTAATACAGAACCATTCTTTAGATCCATTATTCTTTTTCAAAATTGCTAATTCTTCATCATGCATAATACTTATTAGCTTGCCAATATTAGGCTATGTTCATGACTTATAGGTACCTCAAATATAGCATTTTTAATTAATTTAAATAAAAAAATTATAACTAAAACTAAGAATAAAGCTATAAATAATTCTAGACTACTATTTATTTTAGATTTCTTAAAAAAAAATTATCTAATAACTATATATAATATCTATCTAATAAATAATTTTTTTTTTGTTAGAAATTTTGTAGTTTAAAGATTTCAAGCCATACTATCAGTCTAAACCTCTTGAATTAATTTAAAAGATTCTTTTGGATTGTTATTTTTTTGAAAGAATTTACTCATGAAAAGTGTCTATTTGAGATAAAGATATTTGAATGATATGTTCTTGAATATATATAAATAACTTTAACAAGTATTCTTTAAAGTTAAATTATCTGTACTATTAATTTAGAAGCTGTTTATCATAATGCAAACACTTATACTTTTATTACTAAATTCTAATTTTTAAAAATTGACAAATATCTCTTTAATTTATTATGACAATAGACTTTGTAACTTAAAAGAAAGTTGTAGAAGAAGTCCTTCGAGTTCTAAAAAAGGTGAAAACGCTAAAATTGGTCTAGTGTAATGTTGTTAGTCGAAATTATTTTAAGTTATGTAGAAATATTTTGACTTTCAACATTTAGCATGTCAAAATTCTAAATTAATATCGAAATTCTAAAATAGTGTCAAAATTCTAAATAGTATCAAAATGTCTAAATAGTGTCAAAATGTCTAAATAGTGCCAAAATGTCTAAATAATGTTGAAATGTCTAAATAGTGATGAAATGTCTAAATAATGTCGAAATGTCTAAATAGTGTTGAAATGTCTAAATAGTATTGAAATGTCTAAATAGTATTGAAATGTCTAAATAGTATTAAATGTCTAATAGTATCGAAATATCTAAATAGCATTAAAATATCTAAATTGTATTAATTTAAAAAAGATTATGTGTGAAAATTGCCAAGCAAGGTAATTCAAGTAATTTCAGTTATATGAACAAACCGATTTACTTTAACCAATTAATTTTTTTTTACATAAACATGAGAAGAACAGGAGGAAACGTCGATGTTTCACAACTGATCTTTCACCTGATACATGAAAGTAAATTGTACATAATGCATTATATAATAATTCTAGACACTACATACATGAGAGATAAACCACATGATACATAAATTGAAACTCAATCAGAATAAACTTTGAAATCTCACAATAGCCCAACTGAGAATAAAGAGAAATATGTAGTTTATTAGTATTGCATTAGAGCATTCAGAATATGAATATATAACCTAATAAGATACTTAGCCTTCGAATGTATCATAACAAGACCCAACAGCCTTGATGCTCAGACTAAGTCTTTTTATACCTTCTTCAAGTTATCTGTTTTAAAGTTTAAGAGTCTTGGATAGAGTTTTAGATAAGACTAAATTGTGCTAATGAAATTGGTGACTATCTAAAATCTTATTGCTATTGCATTTAATAGCCAATTAGATTTTAGAAAATCACCAGTTTTACTAGCAACTCTGGTCTGGATAGTAATTGGCTGTTTAGCTTTAGCCAACATTCTGTTAGTTACTATTATCTCAATAGATGTAAATAATCAAATTGGTATAGATTTTTGGATCCTCTTCTTATGCTAAATTGAGTATAAATAGTTTAAATTTGCAACAGTTTGCTAACTGGGTTTTGGCATAAGAAACTGTATACAATCTCACAAACCTTCTGTGCCTATGCGAATTATGAAAAACATATGCATTTAATATGCATGCATATATGTATATGTATAGCTTATATCATTCTAATAAACATATTAGTTTATTTTATGAAATGTGTCTCTATGTACTGTTGGGGCTGCTGATATACTAATTAATTAAATCTATATCAGGTATAATAGTAAAAATAAATAGTGAAGATTTATGTAGTATGAACAAATACCTCATTATTCAGCCAATAGAATTTTAAGATCTTTTAGCATATTACATAACTGATCAGGTGGATTAAGATAAAAGTTGCTTCAACATGTAAAAATGCCTAATTAATTGAAAATTTTGCTCTGTAACTTACTTTTGTTATACTATTCGAACAAATTATTATAAAAATTGTCAAAAAAAATAGCATGTACATGAGATGAATCAATTTTTTTGAATACTTACTAGTCTTTAAGTAATTTCTGCTAATATAATAACTAAAAATGTCTAATTAATCGAAAATTTTGCTCTGTAACTTACTTTTGTTATACTATTCGAACTGATTATTATAAAAATTGTTGAAAAAAATAGCATATACATGAGGTGAATTAATTTTTTTGAATACTTACTAGTCTTTAAGTAATTTCTGCTAATGTAATAACAAAATACCCAATTAATAAAAAATATTACTCTGTAACTTTTTTTATTATACTATGTGAATCATTTGCTATAAAAATTTCTTAAAAAAAATAGCTTGTATATGAGGTGAATTGATTTTTAAATACTAGTATTTCATTAGTAAAAGTTTGCTAATCAATTTATGCACAAAATCTATCAGTATTATTATTATTGCATCTCACATAATTTTTATTAATTAGTATATCAAAAGCCCCAATGTACTGTACTAAATATGCTATTCTATACATTTATGATATCACATATGTAATGCTTTTTTTACAGAGCGATTGATTATTAATCAATTCTAAATTAATAAAAAGATAATAATTCAAACTAAATATTAAAATCTTTTTTTAAAAAAAAATCCCATTTTGTTTTGACAATAAAATATTATTTGCTAACAATAATCCAAAAAAAATTACTGAGTACTATATATTAACTCTTTAACCTCTGTGCTGAATTGATTTTTATTGAATTCTTCACTATTGAATTCTTCGTTATTCATATTTTATCTATATTTTTATCTATATTCTTATTCATATTCTCATCATCAACATCTTGCTCTACATTATTTAATTCTATAAAATTTTCAAGTTCCAAGTCTTGATGTTCAATTTCGGGATCAATAAGATTTGCAAAATCTGTTGAATCATCAGAATTATCAGAATTATCAGAATTCTTTTCATCATTAACCTCAAAAAAGAAAGTAATATCTTGAAAGACAGTTTGTATTTCTTCTTCTGTCAAATCTAATCCATAATAATGTAACTCTTGTTTAGCATTTAACATTAAATAAGAACTTATTTTTACTATTGACTTAAGATTTTTTGTTCCTAAATTATTACGTCAATCTCCCAAAAACCATCCACAACATGACCATACATGCTCACAACTCGCAGCATAAGGACATACTGAAAATAATTTAATTGCTAAGAAGAAAAAAGCATCAGGTTTTGTTTTAGTACCATCAATAGTAGTCTTCTACCATTGAATTGGACTATCAATAGTTGATACATAAGACCCATTATAAGGCTCCTCATTACAAGCATACTGACATAATTGTGCTTTCAAGATTTCTAAATCACTTTTTTTTGCATTAGATTTTGCCATTCAAGTCCATAAATGGCCTGCAATTCCAGCTATATGAGAAATTGGAATTGCTTAATTCCAGCATCTATGATTTTAAATAAAAATTTTTATTAAAATTAAATTAAATAAATAAATTAAAATTAAATAAATAAATAAATTAAAAGAGTGCAAAAAGGGAAAATCTGTAAACCAACTTACTTAATAAGTGAAATGATTTACAGGTTTTCTCTTTTCATTACTCAAATATTAATTATATACCATGCTACTGTGGATGTAAATAATATGCCAATAAATATTCATCATAATCAAACATATGAAACCTTTCATTAAAGATTAAAATACATTTTTGATAAAACATTAAATGATAATCTTGAAAAATATTTTTAATAGTAATAGCTAGTCTAAGATAACCTAAATAACAATTAGCTAAATTAGATGTTTTGCTTTTAAGACATAATAGTTTCTTTAATTGGCTTTAAGACTTTAGAAAGATCTAAAACATTATCAAAAAATCCATGAGATTTTGAATATGATTTAATAATTTTGCTCATTTTGTTATTAAAAAAATGTAGATTTTAATCTAAAATCTTTAAATATATTTATTAAATTAAAGTTATATAATGATCATTAAATGATTATTTTTTTTAAAATATAAATGTACTTACTTCTTCTAAATTGATTTTATGATGATATACAGAATATATACATTTATATGCACTAGTTCAACGAGTTTTCATATAATATTTTAATCCGCCTCCATATACATTTTTGTTTATTATTAAAAAATATAATTGATGTGACGAATTGAAAAACTTTACAATTGCAGAACATTGATAAAGAATTTTTTTTGTGAAATTGCATTTTAAAATATCACTAGAAATTATATTCATACAATGCACAATACATCATAAATTTAAAATATGTTGATACTGATCAGAAATTAATTGCCGTGCAAGTATACAGTTTGAACCTCCATCAGTAACTTTTGCTCCAAATTTATCTACACCAAGTTCATCAAAAATTTGTTAAATACAATTTTGTAAAGTTTCACCAGTATGACTTTGGCTAGATAAATCAAGTATTTTTCAGAGATATTCTCGTTCACTAGAAGTATAAATTACAAAGTTCCATAATGATTTTTTATTTAGACCTTTCCATCCATCTAAACTTATATTAAAATTTTATATATAATTAATTAGTAATTATATTAACTTAAATAACCTATTTTATAAATATACCAAGAGTCAAATTATTGGCTTTTTCAAAAATGTTTATAATATTTTGATTAACTTTAATTATTTCTGCATTTAATAGTCGTCCAGCAAATAATTGTCTTAATGGAGATTGATAACCAGATCATAATTCTCGTAGTACATCAATAAAATAAGGATTACTAATAATATGAAAAGATATATTACATACTATAAATGCTTTTATTAAAGCTGAATTAATGTTATCTTTACATTGTGGAGTTAATTTGGTACTTTCTAAAAATTCAGATAATGATGCTTGATTATTTGTAAGCATACATTTTTTTTTGTTCAAATTAGCACTGAGTACAATTTCCTGAAATACTGCTTGACTATGACCTTGTCGATTAGCAACAACTTTATTATAAAAATCTATAACATCTTTATCTTAATTAGGGCAATCTAATGCTAAATGTTCTTCTAAATCCACAGGTTTTACATATGCCCAAAAAGACCCACATACTTTGCACTGTTCTAAACAATGACCTTTTACAGAAACACCTTTGTTAAAAAAAGACCAAACTTCTGCAATTGGCTGTCTGGTAGATTTTTTTGAAATAGGTTCTAGAGAATTTTCATTTTGAGAATTTTCACTTTGGGAATTTCTACTTTAAGAAATTTCATCTCAAATTTTTTTTCTTAAAAATTTTCATTTAAATCTTCAAAATATGATTTGTTCATTTTACATAGTAATATAAAAAAAAAGATAATTTCAAAAATTTTTTAAAAAATCTTAAAATTGATATGGTGTAATAAATTTATAAGAATTTAAAATATTAAATTCATTAATTGAATATACATGAAATAAACTAAGATTATTTATTATTGACCTGTAAAATGAAATAATCATCTATATGTACAATATTACTATTAATACAAAGCTATAGTTTATCACATAATGGAAAAGAGGAGCACAAGCATAACTTTACTACTCACAATGCCATTATAGGAAAATGAATCAAATACCAAAATCCACTAGAAGAATAATATATTAGTATAAAAGTTTCCAGCACTAGAAAGATACCAGTGTAAAATTCTCACAAAACAATGTGATTTTATTATTTCTTTTAGCTTGCTTTGGCAGGTGGAAATAGTTCCACAAACAGTTGCTTTTTTTATGGAATATCACTGTTATTCTAATCAATCTTATTTCAGATTATATCAATGCGACCAAAGAACAAATTGATCATTAGTAGTGAAAGATAAGAATTGTTTAGAATTCAATGAATTGATAAAAAAAGATGTATAAATTAATAAATAACTTTTGTACACACCCATTGATTGATTAAAATATTAATGCCAATCCCATGCTATATTTACATTCATAACTATTCTTGTATACTAATCAGTACATATTCACAATTTGTAATCATCAATTGGGCAATAATTAGTGCAAAATTTGATCAAAAGCATTTGTAGATAATATATATATATATATAGTGTTTGCATTATTAAATAGTTAGAACATATTAAAGGTAAATAGGCATCATGGTTGGGAGTGTATATACAATAGTACAATTCTAGTTTAGATTTCATCATAGAAGGATCATGTGATACACTCAAAAGAATAATATATATTTGGTATAAGAAGTGCTGTATACTTGACAGGTAATTGATCAAGCTTATAACCAAGTAATTAGAATATATAGAATTTGATTCAACTAGTTTTAGCATAAAAATAGCTAATTGGTTCTTTAACATTTGTGATCATCATGCTATATGACATTATTATTTGCATATTTTAATTCATCGAATTAATCTAATATATAAATAAATAAATAAATAAATAGATAAACCTCATTATTCAGTTTACCATTTTAGGTTTTTTTTCAGCTAATATATCGAATATCAACATCAATCAATAAATGCTTTTGTTATGCTCTTCACTTGATCTTTGATTATCGATTCATCAGACCAGCAATAAAAAAATTTAAAAAAAAATATAGTAAATTGATATATAAATATAAATAGAGGCGGTCATAAAAAATGGAAAATGATGTTTTAATTCAATCATCTTGATAATTTGCTCATACTAACTTTTGTTTCTAGCATCTTGCTTCTAACAATTAATATTTATAAGAGCAAGAACAAAATTTGTATTAGATTATATTAAATCATACTATATTATATTCAGGGCTTCAAACATTATAGTAATTTGCTACCCATCCAATAATTGACATTCTTGATCTATATTATAATACTATTTAATTTTGATTAATCAAAAATAACACCAAAAAATTATCATTAGCGCAGTAAATGGCCAGAATATTAATAGTGTCTAAAGCTCATATCATTCTTATAGAAATAAAGGGTGCAAAAATTTCTTTTTAGGGGATTGCTAAAGCTGTGTTCAAGTTAATGTTACTTTTTTGATGCATTTAAGGTTAGTAGTTTATGAAAATAAGAATGTGAGGTTTTGCTATATAACAAGGCAATATATTACTGGTTATTAAGATATGGCTGTTGCATCTTATCATGTACCCATACTTTTTGGTAGTTGCCCTGATGAATTCTAAATTTCATTAAGAATTTACAGAATCTTGATTAAATAACATGTTAGAGCAAAAATTCAAGTGCATTTATTTTTTAACAACTTTTTAGCATAAAATTTTACCAAATTATTCAACTTCTTAACTTCGTTCTACTAAGGGCATCTCTTTACACCTTTGCTGGCACATTATCCTATCGCACTACTTTTCATGAGTTTTGTAGTTTATTATTTTCTAGATAAAAATCTTTTATTCTTAAATATATATTAAAATAAACTTCATAATCATATTACGACATATTGTATAATAATAACTATAATAATCACAACAATAGATGCTTAGTTATAATACATATTGCATACATAAGAATCGATTTTCATTATTGTATCAAATTTATATTTATATATTTAATTATACATATAAAATTATCTTTTGTAAAGCTTTTAGACATTTAGTCATATAATATTTATTTCATCAAGTATTTAGACATTTAACTATATAATATTTATTTGTTAAAGCATTTAGACATTTAGTCATATAATATTTATTTCATCAAGCATTTAGACATTTAGTCATATAATATTTATTTCGTCAAGTATTTAGACATTTAGTCATATAATATTTATTTCGTTAAGAATTTAGACATTTAGTTATATAATATTTTATTTCATTAAGCATTTAGACATTTAGTCAAATTTAGACTTTTGACATTTTGACAAAAAATAATGTTATGTTGAAATATATTTAGACACTTAATTGTCTAAATATTTGACTAAATAGAGTATTTTGACTAACAACATTAGTCCAGTGGTTGCTAAGATATGAATGTTTAAATTAGCATAATAATAGTCAGAATGTTTCTTCAAGAAGAGTTTCTTGCAAATTCTTTGTAAATCAAAAATGTTATCACTACTTTGACATTGAATAGCAGGTTCCAAAGGGATTTTCTCACTAAGATATGCTTAGTAAAAAGATGCGGTAGGTTTTCAAGTATTACTCTTTAAATTTTAGGTCAAACAGACCAATATTGACAAAGTTTCCTTATGACTAACTAAAATTAATTATCTACAGTGAATTGAGAACTTATCTCATAGTCATCACCAAAATGTTAATCTGTAGTTTTTTCTTTAACTACAGCAATAACAGAAGCTGCTTAACTATAGTATGATGACTATAACTTGACAGGTTCTATACAAAAGTCT